ATACAACAGGCTGTTGGCTTAAGTCCAAAGAACCAGAGGTCAGGTGGTGACAAGCCAGATGCAGGATCCAGATTGAGCAGACCACACCCCCCCCCATGGAAACTCTGTTTCAGCTGATTGGCTGCTCATAGCAGATCTTACCATGGAGGTGATTACATTATATAGTGGGGAATGACTACATCATTACATAACTTCGAACTGCAAAACTGCCAAAAGCCACTGAGAATCATAGCTCAGTCAGCACCGTTTTAACCATCACAAAATCCAAGACTCAGAGAAGAAACTGGTCTATTGGACTAACTATCTGTATGAACCATGGCTTCATTTACACTGAGACCAAAAGAATTAGATGGTGACTGACTACCACTACCAGTTATTCAGATCAGGGTCACCATAGATGGACTCTGATAGAATGAGAGAAAAATGTGAAACACAACCTCAATTCTTAAAAAAATCCATATCACTAGATAGATTGATACCAGAAGACTCCCTGAGACTATTGCTCTGAGATATTCTTTAAACCTTGAACTGAAACTATGCTGAGGTCACCTCTTAACTAAATAACAGATTGACTCACAAAATAAAGAATATCAACCGTGAGTACTGCAGTCCCTTAAAAAATCATCTATATGAGTATTATCTTCGTGAGCTTTCACCATGATGTACTGTTGCCAGGGCCAGAGAGTGCAGGAGGTGATGATGCAGCCCATCAACCTCATCTTCATATACTTGTAATATAGATCCTGGATTCAAGTGTGGCTTTATGAACCAATGAATATGCATCATAGGTTTTGATGAGTATATGAACCTTGTATTAGGTGATGAAGTAGAGAAACAAAGTCAAGAAGACAACTGGGTTAGACCATGCTACAATGGGATAATATTATTGTGCTACAAAGTATATCCAATTAGAAATGATCAATGAAGTGAGCAGTTGTTGAGGGCAATAGTTTTTCTCCTTTTTAGGTGTCCTTTGTTATGAGTATACTTATAAAATGTGTTCATATTGTTTTGATTATCCTTATTTTATCACCAAATCATAGTAAATGCTGTAGGATTGTTTTTATGAAAAAGTTTTTTATTGTTTCTTTCTATATATATATATATTTAAAAATTATCTATATAAGACCAATGAGACCAAACGGTCAACAATTACTTTAAAAAAAAAAAAAAAAAAGATGAGAAAGTAAAGGGACAGGGCAACTGGGTTACTGGGTTACTGGAAATGGAACAAGAACAGAAACAGTGAGAATGTAACAGATGTCACTGAAGAATGTGTGTAAAGATTGTTGAATGGGAACCTAATCTGCTGTGTAAACTTTGACTAAAAACACAAGAAAATATTACTTAAAAAAAGAAAAAAGAAAAGAATTACTATCCTAAACTAGATCCTATACTCAAACTCACTGCCATCAAGTTGATCTGACTCACAGCGACCCCCTTTGGGTTTCCAAGGCAGTAGTAAATCTTTACAGAAATAGATTGCCCAGTCTTCCTTCCATGGAGTCGCTGGTGGGTTTGAACCGGCAACCTTCTGGTTAGCAGTCAGAAGCCTTAGCGCTCCCTTAAAAAATCATCTGTATGCATATTATCTTTGTGAGCGTCTCTGGTGGGCCACCAGAACTTCTTAGATCCTATACTAGAGGGAAACAAATACAATTAAACACAAAACAAAAACATTATTGAATCCATTGAAAAATTTGAAATATGGACAGTATATTAGATAAAAATAATGTGTCAATGTTAAATTTACCAAAGTCAATTACTGTAGGTACATAAGAGATCTTTATTCTTAGGAAATACACACTGCAGTATTTAAAGGTAAAGGACCATGATATATATGTATAACATTCTTTCTAAATGGTTCAAGAGACCTGGGATATATACACACATACATACATAAAGAGAAAGAGCAAATGGATAAAAAGTTAAAAAAAAAAACATTTGGATAAATCAGGAAAAAGTTATATGGCTGTTCTTTGTACACCTTACAACTTTTATGTAAACTGGAAGTTATTTCTAGTAATAAGATGGTTTTATTACTTAGGATTAAACTTTATTAAAAATTTGACTAAGCCAATATGATAAACTGGCTCAATATAGTCTAAGAAGAGTATTTCCAAAGATATTTGAAGTACTCTATAAGGTTGGGCAATCCTACTTCCGTAGTGATACTGCCTCGGAAACCCAGGGAGGGGTCGCTATGAGTCGGGGCCGACTCGATGGCACATAACAACAACAACAACATAATTAAGAAAGGAGCTCTGGTAGCATAGTGCCTAAGGCACTTGACTGCTAACCAGAAGGCTGGTGGTTCAACCCCACCAGCCACTCCTCAGAAGGAATATTGGGCAATCTACTTCCGTAGTGATACCACCTTGGAAATCCAAGGAGGGGTTGCTGTGAGTCGAGTCCAACTCGATGGCACATAACAACAACAACATAATTAAGAAAATGTTCTACTGATTAAAAAATATGTACATTTTAAAATTAAATCCAGTGTGTCAAGTGTTAATTGCTGTCTTCTCTCCTCCATAAAAAAACAAGGTAACTGTTTAAGGATTATGATCAGTTTGTTCAGTAGTGAAAAAGGTATTGAATCATTAGAAAATGGGTTTTCCTTTAAAATTAAATGAAGAGTCATCAGTCATGTCAAATAATATTGCCTTTTATGATGTGGTTAATTAATTGGCGACATTCTCAGCAGTTGTCTATATGACTCAGATGAGTACCTCAGTGAATTTAGTGTGTATCCTCATGTGTTTATCCATGCTACTTAATGTAAACAGCTGACCCTAGGCCAAAGTGAAAGATTGGCTATTGGTGTACCTGGTATCATGTCTACTTTTTTAGTGTTTTGGTTTTTTTAATCCTATTTGAGGTTGGCCTTTAGTACCCCGCCTTTTTTTTTAATTTTTTTTTTTTTTTTTTAACTTCTTTCTTGGTGAAAACATACACAAGACATTCACCAGTATAACAACTTCCACATTTATAGCTCAGGGACATTGATGACATTTTCATGTTGTGCCACCATTATTGCTATCCTTTTCCAAAATATTCCACCACCTATTAGCATAAACTCAATACCCCCCAAACAAAAGCTTCCCATTTCTCCTTCCCTCCTCCCCCTGGTAAACACTAATAATCTTTGGGGGATATATATATACATATATGTATATACACAAAATGTTGTTTTATTCCCCCCCAATCTATCTAGAAATTTTCCCTCCCCTCCCTGGTAACCAAGACAGAAAGTTTCCTTCAATGTATAAACCTTCCTTGACTTTTTACAATAGTGTACTAATAGAATATTTCTCCTTCTGTGATTGACTTATTTTACTCAGCATAATGTCTTCCAAGTTCATCCACGTTATGCAGTGTTTTGGAAATTCTACATTATTCTTTAGGGTTGCATAGTATTCCATTCAGTGTATGTACCACAGTTTGTTTATCCATTCCTCGGTTGATGGAGTGTCCCTCCTTTTTTAACTTCTTTTTAAATTACAATATGCATGTGGAATAAAGCACATACACAAAAACGACAAGGAGGCCCCATGTTCTGACCTCCTGTAATCCCACAAGAGGAAGACAGGATTACCAGCAGTAGCCCAAGGCCTATTACTGCAAGGCCAAACATGCTGCTGCCCTTTAGCCCTTTCACCAACCGTTCCTCCCAAAGCACCCACCACCTCTCTCCTGGGTTCGATAATTCGCTGCAGTGGCCACACAGAGCTCACAGATTATGGGATTAATTAGGGAAGCATCACAGGCTACAATTCTAGTTCAGGAAAAATGCTCAGTCTCTCCCAGCCCACCGTCCCTTGGCCAACAGTCTCTCACAGTCTCTTTCCCAGCAGTGCTGGTCCCTCGGTGTCTCACTCAGCAATGCACATCTCTTGCGTCTCTTTCCCAGCAGCATGTGTCTCTTTCTGGAGCACGGGTCTCTTTCAGCAGCACGTCTTCCGTCTTCCTCAACCAGCAGTCCGAGAGAGTTCTGCCTCCAGGAGGCCTCCTTTTGAGCCCGGCAGGGTGGTCAAACTAGCCAATCACAGCATCAGAACTCTAAGCACTTGAGAGAGAGTGGGAACCTCCCAGAACATTGTATTGTGCCACGCCCAACAGAAGTACTCCAGGTAGACAACTTCAGCAATCAGGAGCTCCTCAGTTGCTCATAGAAAATCCCACCATGGAGTTTACAAAGACTTATGGATAGAAAAGCCACACTAAGTAATTTACTATACCACAACATATCATAGTGTACAGCTCTACTTCTGACCCCCTAAAATTGATACTAGCTTTTCTGGAATCATATAGTACATACTACTTTGCTCAGTATATACTCTGGTTTCTTTAACTTATCATCATATTTGTGAAATTCATCCACATTGTTGTACATAGCTGTAGATTGTTCGTTCTCAGTGATGTTTAATATTCCATTATGTGAATTTACTTGCTTCTTGTTCTCTTGTTAAGCCTAGTTTTTCCTTAGTCCATTTTAGGTTTCCAGAACTCTTATGTTTTAAAATTCTTGTACCCCTAATCAAAACAGGAAATGGAAAAAAAATGAAATTATGTTAAAAATAATATATTGGCTGGTATATAAGTACTAGCTTTGAAACATAACTAGCTAAATAATCTTAAGCAAGTCAGTACACCTCTCTGAGCCTCTGTTTCCCCATCTAGAAAGTAGGGCTGATGATGTCCACCTTATGTACCCCAGAGGGTTAAGAACCAAAATAAGCATTGTATAAGAAAATAGGCAGTGTATACATAAGGAAAGAAAAACAACAGGATAGTTGTTGGTAATGTAAATGTGTTATCTCAGCAGGGGAAATGTGTTTTTAGTTTTTCATTTGATTGTGGAATGAAAAGTTTAAAGAAGAGACATTATAATTGCATTTTAACTATATGCTTTAGCATAATTAACAGTTGTAACTGTTTAGGGTATCCAATTTAAATATACTCTAGAGGAAAAATAACTTATCTTTTTATATGTTTAGGCTCGATTATTTGATGAACCTCAGCTTGCTAGTCTTTGTCTAGACACAATAGACAAAAGCACGATGGATGCAATCAGTGCAGAAGGGTTTACAGATATTGATATAGGTAAGTTCACTGTGAGCTAAATGTTTGCATTTCGAGCACAGTAATGCTATCTAGTCTGCCTTGTTGGAGAACAAGCTGTTTTCAATTAGTTGTTTTTCCAGATAACTGAAGTCTGCCTCTTTTAGATAAGAATTTTACTTTGTTTCATTTAGGTGAAAATGTTCCTAAAAGTCTTAACTACCTTATTACTGTTTTAAAAATGTCAGATCAAATAAACATATATTCCGTGAAGGCTTACCATATACACAGCACTATTCTAGGGTCCTGTTGGACATATAAAGAAAGGTAAGATGTGATTTGTCTTGTTAAGGAAACTGTCATCTAATTGAAAAGTAAAGGAGCAAATATGTGAAAATTAACATTAAGACACTAATAGAAGAAATGGAATAAGGCAGAATGTTACAATTTTCTTAGATACAGAGAAAAGAACTACTTTGCAAATCCAGAAAATAGAAAGATTACCTCAAGTTATGGTGAACCCAAACTCACTACCATCAAATCGATTCTAATACTGACCCTCTTGGACAGAGCAGAACTGCCCCATAGGGTTTCCAAAGTTGTAAATCTTTATGGAAGCAGATTGCTCATCTTTCTCCTGCAGAGTGGCTGGTGGATTCGAACCATTAATCTTTTGGTTAGCAGTTCAGTGCTTTAACCATTGTACCACAAGAGCTCCTTCAAGTTAGGATAGTGATAGAAAAATCTTGACAGAGCAGGATCTGATAGGGGCCGTAAAGAATGAATGTAAAGTAAAGCCTGTGAAAGCCAGAACTTGCGTAAGGCAGAAACCTATCAGAGAAGGAAAACTCAAATTATTTTCCACTAAAACAAGCCATAGGAAAATGATAAGACTGCACCCTGTCAAGGCAGAAAACTGGTGGGACTGGGAAAAACAAAACAGTCCTATCAAGTTCCAGCTCTCAGAGGTTTCACTATACTTGGGTAGGTGAAGATAAGAGGGTGTTATGGGCAAGCAGAACCACATGAGTGCAAAGCAAATGAAGCCAAATTATAGAATGCCATTTGATGACTAGCCAAAGAATATGACTTTGCTCTTACAGGGTAATAAAAACAAAAAACACCAAACCCAGTTGCTGTCGAGTCAGTCTTGACTCATGAAGACGCCATGTATTGCAGAGTAGAACTCCATTCCATAGGAATTTCATGACCGTGACCTTTTGGAAGCCGTTGGCCAGGCCTTTCTTCCAAGTCATATCTGGTTGGATTCAAACCATAAGCCTTTCACTTAGTAGTCAGGGGCTTAACTGTTTGCGCCAGCCAAGGACTCCTATAGGAGAATAAAGAGAACTCATTCAAGGCCCCTGACTGAAAATATTATCTTTATCATGATGAACCCAAAATATATATTTTTAACCCATCTTATGGATTCCACTCTCATACCCAACTATCTACTTGACATCTTCAGTTGAAGACTTCATGTGAGTTACTAAAACAGAAGAGTTGATTCTTTTTAACCCCATCAGATCTCTTTGGTTCCTTTCTGAATTTTTGTTTGTTAATAGCACCATCATGCACCTCTATTCCCCAGGGCCGCCTCATTATATGTATCTTGGCAGAAGGGGAGAAAGTGTAGGCAGGGAAAATGCCCATGTCTTAAAAATGTTGGCTGGGAAATGCACCTTCTTTTGGCTCTTATTTCATTGTCTAGAATTCAATCCTACCTAATTTCAGGGAAGGCCAAGAGATGCAGACTTATAACATCCCAGGAAAAACAATAAACAGATTTTTGATGAAATGCTAGCAGTCATTGTCTTCTTCTACCTACCTCTGACTTGTCTCCTATCGTTTTCCCCTTAATTACTATGCTTCATCTGCACTGGCCAGGGATGATTCTATTTCAGGGCCTTTGTATTTGTTTTTCCTTCTGATTGAATTCCTCTTCTGCCACAATGTACAAGTGCCTCCCTTTTTTCATTCAGATCTCAGGTTAAATGAGGCCTATAGAGAGCCTTCTCAGACTTACGTAGTTAAAGTAGATACCACATTCCCGTAAACAGTCCCTGTTCCATTATTCTGGTTTATTTTCTTCATAATGCATACCATCATCTGAAATTCTTACCTAGGTGCTTGAGTAGGTGTGCATATGCCGATTGTCTGCCTGCCCCTCCTAGAATGTAAACTTCTTGAAGGCGGGGACTCTGTCTCTAGCACCTAAAGAAGGAATGTAGTGCATGTTGACTTAATATTTGTTTACCAGTTGGACTGACTGGCTTTTTCTGGAATGTTGCTTTTCCTTCTCACCTTGGCTAGTTCTCACTCAGTCTCAATGTCTTGGCTTAGATTCTATCTCTTCAGTGACTCCTTTTTTGAGAACTGACACTCCCCCTCTTCCATGCCAGTATATTCCTCTGTTGTTATCATAATACATTCCATTGTTGGTTTACCTATCTGTCTGTTGCAGAATACCTTAGGAAAAATTTGCTCACTGTTTGCATCAGGGCCCAAGTCTGGTTCCTCCCTAGGACCTGCACAGTGTGCCCTTGAATAGCTCTTGAATTACTGGATATTTTATAGCCCCAATCAAGCCAAACCCACTGCCATCAAGTTGATGCCAACTCAAAATGACCCTATAGGACAGAGCAGAACTGCCCCCAAAGGATTTCCAAGGCTATGAAGCAGACTGCCTCATCTTTCTCCCGCAGAGCTGTTGGTGGGTTCAAACCACCTACCTTTTGGTTAGCCGCTGAACACCTGAACCACTGTGTCACCAGAGCTCTTGAGAGACCCAAGCACCACCCAGATTGCTAATGAAACATTGCTTAGTCTTAATCCCTTCCCATTAAAGACTGTCCAGTGGGAGCTCTTGTAGCATAGTGCCTAAGGCACTTGACTGCTAACCAGAAGGCTGGCGAGGAAGATGGGGTGATCTACTTCCATAGTGATACTGCCTCGGAAGGGGTCGCTATGAGTCGAGTCTGACTCGACGGCACATAACAACAACAGTGCTCCATTTATTCTCACTCTACTCCCACTTGAAACAATACTGCCTGCATGTGGGTGAAGTACTTAGTCCTAGAAGTAGTTGTGTTAAATATCTCCTAAATTTTGTATACCATTGGAGCCTGGAGCTCTGGTAGCATAGTGCCTAAGGTACTTGACTGCTAACCAGAAGACTGGAGGTACAAACCCACCAGCCACTCCTTGGAAGGAAGACTGGGCAATCTACTTCCGTAGTGATACTGCCTCGGCAACCCAAGGAGGGGTCGCTATGAGTTGGGGCCAACTGGACGGCACATAACAACACAGCTTGCACAGATTAGATACCCCATAAATATTTGTTGATTTCATTTGACTTATAGTTATTTGTATTAAACTCCAGTATTGTTTCTAAAACATAATCTGTTGCTGTGCTCTTTCTTAGACTCTTAGCTGTAATTTCTTAGTTTTATACATCTGCCTATAGATGACCTATGTGTCCCTCTACCCCTTCTCACTGCATAATCTAGTTTGCCTCCTATGTATTTGTTAAAAATTGAGAAATAAAGAGAAGTCTAAAAACTGGGAGAAAGATAGACCTAGGTCAGAAGATTTTTAATAGTTGATTTAGATTCTGGGAATGATTTTTCTCTGCTGGGATTTGAATATGTGTTCTGGAGGGATGTGTTTACCATTTTCTCAGTGGAAAGATACTATTTCTCTTTTATAGATTTTTGCTAAAGGAAGAAGGTAATTTATCACGTTGATGAAACCAAATGAATTTACATTGTATTACGGGCAGTATAGTGTGCTCTTTTGGTCCTACTTTAAATTTATGTGTTTATATTTACTGAAGTTATAAGCATACAAGATAAAGACATGTAAATCTGAAGTTTGCTGTTTTTCCATTGAATAATTAAAATATTATGGTCATTGTATACTCTTAATCCAACAAGGATTGAGGTATGTTGCTTGATAACATTTAATTTTCCTGACAAAATCTTAAATAGACCCTTACTCTGTATTTCTCTACTCAGCTACATTAGAATAGAGGAAAGCTTATTATTATTACTATGTTTAATCATTTTCAACATACTGTTGAGCTCTCCTACTAAGTTCTGCAGAGTATGGTATCTTTGCTAGAATGTTAGCTATGTTTGATATTAAAAAAATATTTAAGTATGGATATGTAGATAGATCATCTCAATGGTTTTCTTTTTTCTTTATTCTTGAGTGATTTAATCATATTTAATGTTTTGATTTCTGCTATATATCAATGCATGATATGCATATAGATTTTTATTTAAATGTAGCTATTAGATATTTTATGGGAGCTCTGGTAGCATAGGGGCTAAGACACTTGCCTGCTAACCAGACGGCTGGCGGTTCAA